GGATGCCCCTGCCGACGCAGCCGCTGCACCCGCCAAGGAGCGGCCGCGGCATCCTGCAGGCAGGCTCGATCTGAAAGTGTGGCCATGGTTCCATTCGTGGGAGCAAAACGAGAGCAGAGATGCGACTGCTTCTGGCCTCCGAGCGCCTATGCCACGTGCAGGTGGCCTTCCTGCACGCCCTTGTCTTCCACTGTCTGGTGCTCTGCCCCCCCCTACTGCACCGTGACGTTGGATACGCGTGGCGTGGCCGGCCTGGGCGGGGGCTGGAGACACGAGTGGCCGCCTGGCCTTCTGGCGCCCGGCTCTCCGCATGTGCTCAGCGGCGTTGCAGCAGGTGTTCACCAACGGGTACAGTCGGGGCGCTGAAGTAGGAACCCTTTTCGTTGGGGAGTGGCTCGGTGCTCCTTGATTGTGTCAGAGTTTGCCTCTGGTGTTCCTCAGGTTTTCCATGGGAAATCGAGGTTGAACTTATTGGGAAGAAGGGGCCTCAAAGCTGCCTCTTTGGGAGGCCTCCTTCCGGCACTGCCGCGCTGCCCACATCGGGAAGGGCTGGGCTCGCCGGGCCACTGGCTAGAGTGCCCGCCAGCGGAGAAGCCCGTCAAGAGGGGCGCTGCCGTGCACGCAGCGCGTGGCCTCCGGGTGCTCCACGCGTGAATTAGCCGCCAGGTGCGCCTCCGGCTTCCTGCGTGCCTGCCTCGGAGGTCGATAGATCTCCTACTCTGGCACGTCGATCGAGGAATTGGCCGCTTCGGTTCGCGAGAGGGCGTCGCGGCCGTCACTCTTGCGGGTCCTGGTCCGTCGGCTTCGGCCCCAGGCCGGTTTCACTAAGGGGAGGTTTACTAATGGGAGGTTTGTCCACCGCCGACTGACGGCTCTCGTCACGGGGGCGTGGTCACAGTCACCCTCGGCGTCGGGCTGCACATGGGCGCCAGGAGCCACTGTGTGTGTGTGGTTGTGTGTGTGGTTGTGTGTGTGGTTGTGTGTGTGGTTGTGTGTGTGGTTGTGTGTGTGTGGTTGTGTGTGTGGTTGTGTGTGTGGTTGTGTGTGGTTGTGTGTGTGCGTGTGTGTGTGTGTGTTTCTCCCACAGTGTGTTTTTTGTATGTGTGTGTAAATGTTTTTTGGGCGGCACCACGGGTGTCCGACATGCTGGTTTTTGGCGGCGTGGCTGGCCAACTGGGCGGCAGCCGGCGGCCCCCAGTGATCGTCGGACGCTGGCAGGGCCTTCCGAGCGTGCTCGGCGCTCGGCTGGTCTGTTTCCAAGGGCACGCTATCGGGGGTGGACAGAACCCCCAACAGTGACACGTCGATTAGTGAATTGTCCGTTTTCGGTTCTCGAGAGGGCGCCGTGGCCGTTATTTTCCAGGCTTGCGCCCGCCAGGTTTGGGCCTCAGGCCGTTTTCACTAAACCACGTTTTACTAAAGGGGGGTCTGTCCATCCCCGACGCTACGCACAGATAGCACGTGCTGATAGATTGACACCGCCTACGGTGTCCGCGTGCTGCGGCGTCACCAGGCTGTCGGGGGCCACCGTCGCTGCAGTAGTTATAGCCGTGGAGCTCGTCGCCGCTGGGCACGTGGCTCGGGGGACGGTGCTCTGTAACACCACGTCTGGGCCGGATAGCTGGAGATGGCCCATCGGGATGTCGAGGTCCTCCTCGTTTGCCGAATCGTGTCCCACCATGGGGGCTCGTGACCTGGGCGCTCGGCAGCGTAGCGTAGACTGCCCACACACTGCCAGACGATGATGATGATGATGATGATGATGATGATGATGATGATGATGATGATGATGATGATGGTGATGGTGATGGTGATGGTGATGGTGGTGATGATGATGATGATTGATGATTATGATGATGGTGATGATGATGATGATGATTGATGATGATGATGATGATGATGATGATGATGATGATGATGATGATGATGATGATGATGATGATGATGATGATGATGATGATGATGATGATGATGATGATGATGATGATGATGATGATGATGATGATGATGATGATGATGATGATGATGATGATGTCGCTGCGAAGGCGCGCCGTGTGGTTGACGCATTGCAGGGCTCGGCCCGTGATCGCGACGCGCGCGGAGCGCAGACTGCGGTGCGGCTGCGCGGTGCGCGAAGCCAGCTCGGGCCAGGCGCCCGGGGGAGAAGAAGCCGCGGCGCGTCTCCGCCGCGCGGCCGGGGCCTGGCCGCCCGTCGGCATCGGTCGTGGCTGCCTCCGCAGCGGCTGCGCGGCGAGACGTGCCGTCGCGGCGGAGGCCCCCCGAGTCGCAGTCGTCCTCCTTGGTGGAGTCGTCCAGAGAAGGGGTGGGGCGGGGGGGGGGGGGCGGAAGTGGAGGCAGGGGAGGGGACGCGGGCGGGGCGGGAGGGCCGGGACGATAGGAGGGGGATGGGGAGGGAGAATGCCCGCAGGCACGACGCGGAGCGGGCCAGCTGGTCCAGGGACGCCGACGCCTCCCAGGCGGTGCTGCAGCGGGCGGAGGATGTATCCCGCTCCACTGGCCATGTCTTCCTCCCCCATCCCCCTGGCTTACCCCCATCCTCCTTTCCTCCTCCTCGTCCTCCTCCTCGTCGTCCTCCTCCTCCTCCACCTCCTACTCCTTCGCCTCATGCTCCTCCTCCTCCTCCTCCTCCTCCTCCTCCTCCCCCTCCGCCTCGTCCTCCTCATCCTCATCCTTCTCCCCCGCCCCCTCTTCCCTCATCCGCCTTCTCTTCTCTTTCCCCTCTTCTTTCCCCTCCTCCGCACAATCCTCCAGCTTATCCTCCTCTTCCTCCTCATCCAGCAGGCTCGGCGATGGCGGGCTCAGGACTCGCTGGATGAATACCCTCGTCATGCAAGGCAAAGTGACTAGGGGCGGCTTCATCGGGGTGCTCGTGTCCGCAGGGCGTGCTGCCCAGCTCCTTCGGATGCTGCCAGCGCGTGCCGGTGGGGGCGGGTGGCATGGCGCGCGGCGCTCGCGGCGCGCGTGGCCGAGCGGCCTGGGCCACCAGGGTGACGAACTAGTTGCAGGCTTCCCCCGCCCCCTCGCTGGCCGCGGCCCTCGGCCGCGTGCTCGGATGGCTGCGTGGTGCTGGGCAGCAAGGGCCAGCATCGGGCGGTGAGCTGGAAGCCTCTCCGCGCAGCCCCCCGCGCTGGCGTGGGCGCCGGGTCCTGCCTGACTGAGCCGGAGCCCCCTGGTCGCCCCTTAGGCTCCCGGAGGGCGCCTCGGACGGTGCGCTCCTCTGCCGCGGTGGCCCTCGACGTGTCTGCGGCTGCGAGGAGTGCTGCCCGCCGCCCTCGGCGAAAGGGCGCAGGCTGCGGGAGAGCCTCTGGGTCGCTGCGCCCGTGCCGCCCGGCGGCACCGTGGCGACGCCGGAGAGCCAGCTCGGGTGTGTGGAGCCGCTCGGGTCTTCGCTCGGCCAGTGCATGCTCTTCACCTGAGAGGCTGCAGTAGCCAGGGGAGCGTTTTTTTTTTTCTGTTGTGGTTAATGTTGATTGTTGCTTATGTTTGACTGTTTCTTATTATGTGCCTTCCAAGTTCCGCCTGTCGAAGGACATGCCCGACCTAAGCCAAGCCGAATGCGCTTGCGCCATGGGTGGCGTCCGAAGCCTCCCAACCATCCCTCACAGGTTCGCAGAAACATCTTCTATTCGCCAAGTGGGGAGTCCCAGAGGACGCTGGTCCCCGAAACGGCGCCATCGTGTGGTGCGCAATCAGAAAAAGGGGGGGCCTTCTACACTGGAGGGGGCGAAAGAGGAAGCACAGGAGGAGGAGGTGGCGGAACAGCAGGAGGCTGATCTGCAGGAGGAGGGGGAGCGGGAGGAGCAGGAGGGGCAGGAGGGGAAGCGGCGGAGGAGAGGAAAGGAGAGGGGGGCGGCAGCGACGTGGAGGGAATCGGGTCCAGATCTGTGGCCCGGGCTGGGGCCTGGCATTGCTCGGGCGTGTGCATGCCTTCCTCGGCGAGGGCCGTTGAGGAGCATCTTGGACCAGCCTTGGAAAGCAGGCGCGCGACGTCGAAGCACTGCACGGGAAGTGGACGTCCGAGCGAGGGCACGGGGGGGGGGCGAGCGGGCACCATCCTGAGCGGCGGGAGCACAGCAGTCCGTCTGTGGAGCGCCGCAGGCGCAGCAGCAGCAGCGGGAGCACCACTCTCGGTGGGGCCGAGGGCGGGCCGGCCGGAGCAGCGCCGTGGAGATCGTGTGCTGGCGACGCAGGGCGGCAACAGCGCGCGGGCAAGGCGTCGGCACCATCCCACGGCGTCAGAGGAAGGAGGAGAGCGGTACGGCCGGGCCGAGGCATAAGAGCGAGGTCGGTTCGGGGAGGGCGCCCTAATCTTCTTCGTGTCTCTCGGTTGCTCTCGTGCACCCTGGGGGGGGAAACCCTCGAGCGATCTCAATGTTAGGGGTTTCTTGGCCGGCGGTGGGCCTCGTGTTCTTGGAGGACGCGCTTGTGTCTTAGGTCCGACCGTACCCATAGTGTGCAACTGCTTGGATGGCCGCGGCGGTTGCTAAGTACTTAACATACTTACTACGCTAAGTTAAGTACTTAGTAAGTAGTTAGCGGACTTAGCTAAGTACTTACTCAGTCATTACTAAGTGGCCCACTTAGTAATGACTTAGTAAGTACTTAGCTATCCACTTATAACCAGTTAGCTAAGTGCTTAGCGCACTTAGCTAACCACTTATAACCGCTTATAGCTAGTTTGCTAAGTAGGTTATAAGTGACTTAGCGGTTACATTGCACTTGTTATCCAAGGGCCATGCACAGGGAAAAAAAGGTAAATCCACGTCTTGAAAGAGCTGAGTTTGTTCGTTGAGCGCTGCAGCGCTACAAATTTTGCATTTTGATTTGGAGTCGGTGTCCTGGATTTTTGCTTTAAATATGAGAAGCGCTGCAGCGCTGCCTTCGGATTTATATGAACATGAAGCGCTGCGTGCGCTGAATATGAAGCGCTGCAGCGCTGAATGTTGAGTTAAATGCATGTTTTCTAGTTGCACGTTGTTCGGATCTTCATTTTCGCCCAGCTCCGTTTGCAAGGAATTTGAATGCACATGTCAATTATGTTTTGTTGTATTCGTTGTTTTTCAATGGTCGCATTGAGCGCTGCAGCGCTCCAAATTTGATAGCACGTATGTTACTTTGCGCTGCAGCGCAAAAAAATGGTTGTCGTCGTGATGTCGCATCGCGCTGCAGCGCGTGCGCGCTCGTGCTTCATGGGCCTCGGGCTGCAGCCCAGATCAACATTTTTGCTCGCAAGTTGCATGTCCATGCAAGTCGATGTTCACGCGCACGCCGCGCGACAGCTTGTCTCAAGCTGCGGCCGCGCGCCGCATCCGCCGTCGCGCCCGCGGGCTCGCACGTTGCATTCGGCGCTATATATAGCGCTGGCATGGCGCTGCAGGCGCGTCAGGAGGAGCAGATCTTGCAGTACATCGAGGAAAGCAATTCCTCGGGGAGGTTGGCATCGGGGTGGGATCAACTGAAGGAGTTCCTGCTGGCGGAGGGGCTAGCGTATTACCAGCAGGTCCCACCGAACCAGATGGGCATCGACATTCGGAACCGCAGCGGTTCGTTAGTGAACCCTGCGCGGGCTCACAATTTAGGCGCGAAGATTTGCGCCCAGGGCTTCGTCTTGGCCAAGACGGCTGCAGCCACTGCCTTCAAGGCCCCGCAGGGGGCGCAGTTGGAAGAGACCGCGATGGCGAACGACCGCCTTTCGCGGCTCAGCGGGGGTCGGTGCCCCCCGCTGGACTCATTGCGGTATGCGTCAGTGGGCGGCTCCCACACGAACGTCTTCCTCCGCTGTGTGCTGGCCAAGGCGCCGACCACAGTGAAGGCGCTGGCAGACTCTCGGGACAACATCGACTCCGAAAAGCTGTGCGCGTTGCATCCGCAACTTGCGACGGCAGTCAAAAAGGGCCTGACGTGGTTGATCATCAAGCACGCGGTGGCCAAAGTGAAGGGCCTCAAGAACTTCGCGCAGAGGGCTTTGAACGCCGACGTCAGGGAGGCGGTTCACGAGACCGAGATCATTCGGTCAGGCTGCAGCCTATCCCCACTATAGTATATAGCGGTATGTAGTAAGGACCAGGATGATGCACGAGGAGGGTGATGAGTGGGAGCGCGTTGGGGAGGAGGTGAGAACGAGGAGCAGGAGCATTATATCTTACCGTGCTGCAGCACTTGATCGGCTCGGCGCTTGCTGCAGGCAGGTGGGCGGATGCTCTTGGCACACAGCCTCGCTGAGGGTTCCAGCAAGCCCGATTGGCGCGACATCGCCGAGCAAGCGGGCCACGCGAACCCACCTTGCAAGGCGTGGATCGCTGACTTGTGCAAGTTTGTTGAGCTCGGGCCACAAAACGGAGAACTTCTCCGTGAAATAGATGAAGCCCTCAAGACCTTCACGAATGTGGACGTCTCGGGGCAAACTTTGATGTGCGGCTCTGAATTCTGGCGCAAGTTGAATTCGATTAAATGGGGGAAGCACCAGGAGTCGCACCCGTATGTCGTAGCGGCGCTCGTGAAGGCCAACTATTCAGGCGAGCACGTGGTGGATAGCATGTGCAGGACCATCCATAAGCTTGTCGGCGCCCCCTTGTAGTGACATGCGCTGCAGCGCATCTATGCATTGCGCTGCATTGTTAGAACTGCGTACCCCCCCCCCCCCCCCCCCCCCCCCCCCCCCCCCCCCCCCCCCACCCCCCCCCCCCCCCCCCCCCCCCCCCCCCCCCCCCCCCCCCCACCCCCCCCACCCCCCACCCACCACCCCCCCACACCCACCCACACACACACACACCACAACACCCCACCCCCCCCCCCCACCCCCCCCCCCCCCCCCCCCCACCCCCACCCCCCCACCCCCCACCCCCCATCCCCCCCCCCCACCCCACCCCCACACACACACACACACACACACACACACAACACACGCACACGCACACACACCAACAACACACACACACACACACACACACACACACACACACACAAACACACACACACACACCACACACACACACACACACACACACACACACACACACAACACACACACACACACACACACACACACACACACACGCACCGTTACATTGCTTTATTCCCAAACGCAATCGCTGAAGCGATGGGCGGATCAAGGCAAACGAGATCGTCCACGTCGCGCCCCGCAAGGCGGACGTGGCTGCGGCCGACAACCTCATGGCCGACGCAAGGTCGCTCGTGAAGAGGTTGGATATCGGAGCGGAGCAGGGCTTCTTGCACATCACAAAGTTGGACGTCCGCTGTGCCATGCACCTGGTGAAGAAGCGAGCGCCAGGAGACCGCACTTTCGGATGCGTAGCAGATATAGCACAGGTATCTTCTCACGCCACCTTTCGCGTGCTCCTTGTTCCCCTCCCTCCCTGCTTTTCGCCATTCAATGTCGCTGCAGCGACCCTCCAGAGAGGTCTTCCCCCATGAGCTCGGGGGCCAGCCCAGCTGCAGATGAAGAGCTTGGGGATCGAG